CAAATAACCTTCATAAAAATAGGCAATGTAAGAATAAACTTCAGTATTAGGGGTTCATTCAAACTTCAAGTATCCAAACTAAAATAACAAAATAACAAGTTATATGTAATTGACACAGACTTTGTACCTCAGCAACATTAAACAATGACTGACCTCAGCTTGTTCTTCATTTATGGTGATGGACTCTTTAACCCGCTTGAGCACAAGATGTAAGCATCCACATTGCAAACTTATGGCACTGTGATGATAAAGAATGCATATGTGATGATGTACACTCAAATATGAGCTAATAGTTTTTTTTTTTTTGTCAAAACTGCTTATATTTTAGCTGGGAACAGCAGGTGTGCCATTCTACTGAGTTGCATATTAGTAATTAAGTCTATCCTTGCCTGTGTGAGTATATCCCAACTGCAAGTATTTGTCTGACAGCCATGTTGGCAAAGAAGGTTAGGCAAGCCACACTGACTCTGATTTAAAACCACATGCACCAGGGTTATCTCATAAAAATGTATGTTTAAATTTCTCCTAAAAATTATCCAGCAATCCTTGTAATAAACTAGAATACCTATTATGGATGACAATAGTAATCATAGTAACCATGTGAAACCTTAGCAACAATGGGTCTCTTTTAAAAGGGGATTAGCATAAAGACTGATTTTCAATTGAATCATTCTAATGAAGAAATTTTCACAAGCAATGAAAGTTTGGGGTTTGTACCCATGTGCATAATAGACTGTTTACAACTTTCTGATTAAAGTTGTTAATTCATCTATTTACATTCCATTTCATAAAACCCTTGGAAATGTATATTTTCTGGTTAGAAAATAATAGACTGCATTTATCAGACCTAATGCAAATAGTAATCTTCAGTAATTGGGAATTACCTGTACTTGTCATAATAATTAGTCAATATTTAACCCATTAGATCTAGATGACATTTTGGCTGAGGGAGGTGACAAGGTCTAGTCATGGGAAATTGTTGCTGAGTGGTGGGTGATGGGGATGTCTCATCATCAATGTACAAAGCACAGGAGAAAAACTAACCTAGTATGATTCCAGGCAGGATGTTCATGCAGGAGTTCAACAGGTCTACAGAAGTTAAGTGAGCCATCCATGAGCTATGCCTGGGAGATGGCTGTGTACAGGGTACACTTAAAAAGAAATAAAGAAAAATCTTTATAATGTTTTTGTTTATGTTACTGCACAGGCCATAAAGTACCTGGAGATACAATGCAGAATTTGCTAAATACCTGGAGATACAATGCAGAATCTTGCCATTCTGATACAACATAAAATATGACAACTATAGACCTCTAGAAATGGCAAACAAGAAAAAATGCATCTGTAGAAAAAAGGCATAAAGCATTGCAAAATGGGAGCATGGAGCCTTAATACCAGGCTGGACCAACAGGTTACACACCAGTGCAAGTCAACACTCAAATAAGTCTAATGCCTGGATTTTGGTCAACCTGGGAGCCACAAGGTGCACCAGATCCAATGGGTTAAGAAATTTAATTCCTCATATCTGTAAGGCTGGGATCAATTGAAAAACTGTAAGCATAAAATAAGGATAACTAGGTTGTTCTATGTAAAGGGAGTGACAGAAAGCTTAGTGTTTTTTCTTTTTATTGCAAAATTTTCCAATGACAGTATATCATCTTCTTTAATAGCACTTAACCATGGCAATTTCATATTCCAATCTGTAAATGGTATACCCTACAATAAATGAGATACACTAATATAGATATATATATACGTATATAAATCAGACAAAGTACAATTGCTTTTTACTAAATATCTCCCAGTATACATTTTAAAATCAAAGTAATGTGAATAAAGTAGAAAAATAAAAATAAAATACATTTGGAGGTTTTGGCTTATAGGACGGGATACATCATGGTGTACAGAGTTTCATATGCGATGACTACTTGATGGCTAAATATTTTGTATAAAGACCTTTTTTTCAATCATATCAAAACTTTTTTGAACATCAAAATACTACAAATAGCAAAGATATGTTTATGAAGATCTGGGAGTAACATTACTCGAAGTCAAATAAAAGCAACCCTGGAACTAATATACTTTGTTCTCCACGTTCTCCATTCTTCAGTTGCAATGATCAGCTGAGGCTCATTGGCTAACAAAGAAGTGAGTCCTAAAAAACTTATCTTATGTTAACACATGGTATGTTAACCTGCAGCAGATGGCAGAGAGGACAAAACTATTCAATGATGACAAATCAAAACTGTTCACAAAAATAAATGGGTATGCACACATTAACTGGAGACACTTATCTCTAAGGATCTTGTAAATAATATTTCAGCTTGAAATGATATTATGCAAATAAGAAAAAAGAGAATATATATAACTAAAAGGATGGCAAGGGTTAAAAAATAACGACTTCCAAATACAAATACGTAGTCAAACATGGACATCAACATACATTGACATTTTTCTACAATTCAAAAGAAAAAGAAATGAAAGGAAAGAAACGCAATCACATCATCCCCTAGAGGAGGTATCTTCATCACTTTCTTTATTAGAAGAGTATCCAGCATCACTTTCTCCCTTGGCCCCAGAGCCTGCCACTGTCTCCTTGGTGGCACTGTCTGGCTCTTCTTCTTTTCCACTCTCCAGTCCTGATGGCTTGTTATCTTCCTTCTCATCTGATGAATTTCCTGTGCTGCTCTTTGCTTCTTCCTCATCACTATTGCTGTCATCGTCGCTTGAGTCGTCCAAGTCACTATTGAAAAAAGATAAAAAATTACTTAAGAAATAGGGAAAAGTCACTTCAACTGTGTACTGAGAAAATAGAAAACAAAGGAAGCGAGATGAGAAGAAGTAAGAGGGAAAATTAGAAAAAGGATAGGGTTTCTAAAAACAGAAGAGAGAATAAAAAATGAGGGACGAGTGAAGAGAAGAAAAAAGAACAGAAAAAAAGGTACATAAGATGAGAGAAATCAGAAGACATAGAAGATAGAAAGGATAGGGGAGAGAAAAGCAAGCTAATACAAAACTAAGAGAAAAGAGAGACATTAGATATGAAGATTGAAGAAAAAGGATAAAAAGGACGAAAAAAGTATAAGTAACATCAGATGAGGGAAGATAAATGGTAGAACTTAAGCACTTTGTGTGAAATTATCAAGATAAATGCTACATGCATGTACCTCCACCCTAAGATCAGACGCACTGACCTAGAGGTATCAATAGTTACTCCTATGATGGACCAGAAGCCAGGCTCTGTATAATCTAATATGCTTAGCACTACAGTATGAGCACATAAAACTGTTGCTTCCTGTGCTCTTAGTGATAATGTGCCTGTACCTATCACTTTTCATTACAGTAATCCACTGCTTTTGTCTCTGAGTCCCAACAAATGTGAAAGTTTTTCTGACTTTAACCCATTGCCGACGGGTAAAAATGTTTGGCAAGTGGACGTATGAACGGGCTCGTTGGCATCGGCAGTTTCCTGTTTGCGCCCGGCTTGATTGGTAGTTTGCGAGCGACATTTAGCACCTAAAAGCTTTTATTTTACTAAAATTTATTAAAATATTAAAATTTTGAAGGTCTACCTTTATTTTAGGTGCCATTGCCTAAAATCTTTACCATATAAATGAAGCCGCTACTATCAGAGAAAAACAACCTCCGTCCGACGAGCCAGTGGCGCGGGAATGGGCAGGACATGATGCCCCCTGGCGTTCGGTCCACAACAGCCATGGCATATAGATATATATATACATGCCACCCGGTGGCAATGGGTTAACCACTACGATCTAGATGACGTTATGGTCCAGTCATGGAAAAATCTGGGTTGAGGGTCAGGTGACATCAACATGCCATCACTGGACAAAATGGAAGCGGGTTAGGTGATATGAACTTGCTGTCATGAGCGAAGGCCAGAGTAATGGAAAAGACTTGCCACAAGTGCACAAATCTTTTGGAGTGGGATTTGACTCATTTGGCACTTAGAAGGGGTTTTTAGCATTATTCCCACTGATAAATGAATGTGGAATGTAATGTGCGCAAACTGTGAGTGGAAGAGCACCGGCTCGAGAGAGGATGGCATTTCCATGCTGCACACTGTATTCCTGGCCACTGTGATCAGTGGCGCAGGTTGTATTATGGAAAATTGAAAACTACGAAAAAATAATTTATATGACACAAGTAACCAAATATTCCTTCTTTCTTTTTCACAGAGTTATTTACTACATTAAGAGGTGATAATGGAGTCTGTACAAGGAAAATAAGCTATTACCATCTGGATAAAGCAAATGAAAAGACAAATATGGCCATTGGAAAATGGCAAAAAACTAAAAAAGTTTATATAAAATAACTTTGCAAAGAGGAGGCAGAGAGTAGCCAACATCCCAGGCATGCCCCGGCACGCCTGGGATGTTGGCTACTTACATAACTCACTACACTGTGATTTCCGTGACACAACTGGATCCAATAGGTTAATGTTGCCTAAACACTATCCATATATTGGCAACTCTAGAATCATCTTCCGGGTAGTGCAAAAGCTCTGAATCAGTAAAGCAGAGAAGTGAGGTTAGAGAAAGATCCCCTCCTTTAGCACTGCTGACTAGGGGCATGTGCATCACTGAGTTTATTACAAGATAATGAACTGTAGTAACAGCAAAATTGCTGTGTTCTTCCATACTTGAGTTTCAAGCTGTGAGTAGATTTCAATGCTCAAATCTGGTGCCAGCATGTGAGATTCTGATCAATCAAGAGTCTTCACAGACAAAATGAAAGAACACAGAAGACAAATAAAAATTATGCATACAAATGAAGGAGAGGGGGGGGAGAGAGAGAGAGAGAGAGAGAGAGAGAGAGAGAGAGAGAGAGAGAGAGAGAGAGAGAGAGAGAGAGAGAGAGAGAGAGAGAGAGAGAGAGAGAGAGAGAGAGAGAGAGAGAGAGAGAGAAGGGGGTGAGGAGAAGGGAACAGACACATTAGATAAGAAAAAACACATTTGCTGATCCCGCAACCTCTGGTGAGTGGTGGAGATGGTGGTACAGGGCCTAGTTTACTTTCCAATTGCAATCTTAGTCCTCTCTGTCTCTCACTGTTGTTTATTGTTTTATTTTCCTTTTTGTGTGCTCTTCCGTCATTGATGGACTCAGAGGGGTAAGTAAAGGTTTTTTTTTCTTCTCTACTCGTGGTCGTAATGTGCCTCTACATTTGGTAGCAGTCCTCTCCTGATTGGGGTAGTTCATATCATGGTCCTTGTATGGTGGGAGGTTTAAGACTACTCAGTGCTACTGCTGCTGCCCACCTTCCTGTGTTGCCACTGTAGCCAGGAATACTCCTGGTTTGTGGCCTTACTCTATTTGGACTAGAAGCTAAGTGGTACGGTACACTTCCTCATCCTTAGAGATAAGCAACCTCCCTTGGCCCTGCTGCAAGGAGGGCTGAGTATTTCCTTGCTTGCTGCATCAGTTCAGCAGCAGGCACTGCTTGCCTTCTCGCTCTGAATGTTGCTGTTTAAAATCTCCAGCTAAACATATTGCCACAGGGGCTTGACAGAGGTCTCTCTTGCCTATATTTCTCTGTTCCTTGGCAAGATTGAAAGAAATGGCACACTCTTCCTCTGAAGCTAGGCCAAACTCACTCTGGGTTGTATTTATAGATTTCTCACTGAACAATATTTACATAGTAGTTTAAATCAACAGTATATAGAATTTAAATATCAGATAATTGGTTAAACATGTCAGAAATACTTACTCTAAAAATCTGCCTTTCTTAGGTTTGACAACTGGCTTTGCTTCTTCTGAGGAACTTCTTTTCTGGGAGCCTGAGGTGCTTCCTGGTTCTTTGGAAAAAGCTGAAAATAAAAATGCATTTCAGAAACAGTAACAGCAACTCTTCAAGAGAGAGATAATTCATTTATCAATAATATATTGACCCAAATAGTTTTTGTATATCATGATATGCTATATATATAAAGTGTAAGCATTAGGGAATTTTATTCAACTAATGTTTCTTTCCACCTAATCTTAAATATTTCTTTTATCAATCCACTGCTACAGGGCATGGCATGTTTACTATGAGTCAAGTTTACTATCTGTACTTGCATATAGATGGCTCTTAACCCATTAATGACGGGTGTCCCACATATCCCGAAGAAATAAAGATTCTGGGCACCTGCAAAATCAGTGGGCGGAGCTGCCCCAGACTCTGATTTTGTAGCTGCCCGGAATCTTTAATTTTCGACTTCAAAATATATCGCCATTAATGGGTTAACAAGTGCTTCATCACCAAGGTGTTAATTACAAATCCTACCTACCTCACCTGCTTATCCTTTTTTCATTAATTTTTGGAAATATTTTATTAACCCAATCGGGGTCACATATATGAGACACCGGAAAAATAAACATCCACGTGCGCCGCTGGCGCACGGCCGCCGGGTGGACAGACTCCGGAGAAGCTCCGCCCGCCGATTTTGTAGCTGCCCGGAATTTTTTATTTTAGCAACAAAATGTACCCGGCGTGAGTGGGTTAAAGAAAAAAAAATCTATAAAATGAAGGAAAGGGGAAACAGGTGAGGACAAGTAGGCCTACAAACTGACTCCTTGGTTGTTGAACACTTGTGGAGCTAAATCTTTGCAAATACATTTCACAAAACAAAGCTCCAGTTTCCACTTTGTGGAAATAACATTAATGTGTGATAATCTGAATTATCACACGCTTACCTTTGTCTAATGAATCATACAAATTTTTTTCCCGAACTTCTCTCTGCTGATAATATGACTCATCCTGGAAAATGTGTTTTGGAGTTTCCTTCAATTTTTCAAATTTTTGGCGCTTACGTTCCTGTATCTCTCGTTCTCTTTCTGATTTCTTGCTGATAAATTCCTTTAATCTGTGAAAATGATAGTAACATGAAATGCAGTTTCTATGACTGCCTGGTCCCAAAATCTTCTAAGTACACTACAGTGATTGCTTCAGTAAGTTATTTGTCCTATTTACAAAACTTGTATCATATCTCTTTTCTAGCTATTGATCCAGAAACCATATATATCATACAAGTATTTTACTAGCAACAGATCATATTCCTTCAGAAAATAAAATTATTGATCATTAAAGTACTCCTGTTTATGAAACCTATAAAAATGTCATCATCCTAATAACAAAAGCTCAAAAATCTGTAATCAATACACTTATACATCTTTTAGTTTTTTTCTTCAAGTACTCTGTCCAATCGATTGATACAAAACAAAATATTTCTACCTCTTTTCCTCATTTATATCTCTCAAGCGCCGACCACTGAGATCCCGACATGCCTCCCGGTTGGTTGTCTTCTCGATTTGAGCACCTGTAGACATGTCAATGATTAAGTTAAAGTTTTTATAACCCAACCATTTAGGCTTACACTGTATGATTGGAAAGCATTGTAATGACAAGGGTAAAGAGCTGTACAGAACTTTGTGATAGTGTGGTATTGAATAAGGTAAAGAGGGTGAGTAAATGGGGTAAAGCAGGGAAAATGGGTAGCAATTAGATAAAATGGAAAATACAGCTCATTGAGAATAGAAACCATAAATATTTCAGATCAGAAGAGCTATCATAAAACAATAAACAAGTCCTACTGAGAAGTAGGACAGGAAGAATTCTGGTCAGATATTTAGTCATAACTCCTTTATTCTTATGTATTAAGCAGAAATATTACTCAGTGGGTTGCCAAAGCATACTAGATTACACAAGATTTTTTTTTTTTTTTTCGAGTATTTTTAAAAATATTTGTCAAAAATCTACGGTGACAGCCCCATTAAAGGAAGTTGGGTGTGGAAGACAGAGAAACAAAAGTTTTCTTACAAGGAGGGGATGTGGTAGGATAAGATGAGTTGAAATGGTTAGATTGCCTTATGCAGTGGGCATAGCAAAAAGTGGTAGAGATTGGAGTGTCTGAATTTAGAATAGCAAAAGATTTTGACTGGGAGAGAGGTGTAGAAGTGGGAACATAAAGAGGAGGAGGAAGTACTGGGGGATATGTAAATAGATCTTGGGGAAAAAAGGAGAGGGGCAGAGCAATGGAGTGGGCAGCAAGAGAGAAACCTTGTTGGCAAGCCTCCTGTCTCACTCAAATGTATAGGTCGGGCAGCCCCTTTAAAATATATTATGGGAGCCACCACAAATAGCACATGTGCATGTTTGTGCAGAGCAGTTTGAACAAACATGACTAGGTTGGGCAAATAGAGGGCAGGGGGCTATGGAGTGTCACACAACATTTCTAACATTGACAGGGCAGGTTTTTCCACTAATACAAATTTCATGGAAGAGGTCATATCTACAAAAGGTAATACTGGCCTCTAGGGGGAGAATTGTGTAGCATTGTACTGAGCCTGCACCATGGTCAACGAGGCAGGCAAGGAAGTATTTTTACAGTCTGATCTTTGTCATACACAGGGCAATCAGATGGGGAGATGGAAACAGTCCTGGTACAAGTACTAAGGGAGGAGTGAGGCTTTGGAGGAATAGGTTTGCCAATGAGGTCAGTCAGGGTAGATAATGCTTGAGCTTGGGACTAAGATTTACCTGTGACAAGGTATGTAGGATTGGAATGGCTTCAGAAGGAAATTTTGCATACTTGTTCTTGGAGACATTGTTGGATGAGAAGAGTATTGTCAGAGTAAGGGGCTGATGGGGGGATCATAAAAAAGAGATCCCACTTAGCTAAGCTAAAAAAGAGTACTCAAAAGGTTTGTAGAGGTCGGAGTAGTAGAAGGAAGAGGAAATGGTTTGGAGAGAGGTAGTACTGAGGGGAGGCAGACAATCAGGATGGAGAGTAGTAATAAGGGGGGTAGAAAATTAAGAAGACTGTGGAGGATGAGGAGTAGAGGATGTTGGGAGAGGTGAAGGAATGTTTTCTGAAGGTTGGGTTATAACTTTGGTGTGTGATACTTGTGTGGATTTTATTATCAATGAGTGATGAGCTACCAATGGTTAGAAGGTTCAATGCATACAATATGTGTAAAGCTCTTTCCACATAACTTATATGCCGTAAAAGTGGGGAACACCCTACATCTTGTTTATCAAACTTAACATTTAGCAATTAATGAAATACATTTACCTATTGCCCTCAGCATAGACCCAAAACCTCCCTTGCCACCAGGGAGCCTTAGTGTTGCTGTGACAGTTTCATCCTCCGATATCACCGAGGATGAGGACAGGATTTGCCCTTTGGATTGCAGGACAACATCTTGGATCTCCCCCTGAAAGGAAAAAGAAAAATAAACAAAAAGAAAAAGGAATTAAACTGTACATTGAATATAATCATCCTAACCAAAGGAAAAGGTAAATTTTATAAACTACTATCAATACAAGGCAATTCTTCCTTATAAAAGAAAGGGAAAACAAAAGACAATAATCTAGAAAGTGTTCCCATAAAAGTATCAGTTATGATCTGAAGTGATTGTGTAATGAAAAATGAAAAAGAAAAAACTTACCTCTCTCCCCACAAGAGCTTCAAAAATATCAGCTCCTGTCATACATTTGTTCTCCAGGCACCATGTTCTCCGAGATCCAGACACGTGGGAAACCAGCAGAACCATTGTTGCAGATATTTCTCACAGGTCAAACAGTCTGAAAGGTTTATAAAAATGCTGAATTATATCACCTTGTTTTGCTGCATGCTTCACAATAATTTCTGTCTCAACATACAAATATTTTCATTTTCTATACCCTCTGGCTCTGGGTAATAACACTATTCATTGTCAGTAAGTGGGAAATACTCAAAGGAAAATATGGAAATTAGGGTTACTAGAACAGTCACTTTGACGAGTGTGTGGCATGTAAGGTGGGCCCATGTAAACACTTGTGTGTGGTGTCAAGACTCCATGCCTGTCCTTTACAATGTTTTGTATTTTAGGGCATTAGCATTTCAACATTTTTTTTTTCTGTGTTTTTTTAGTGTCTATATTTATCATCTGATTTGCTTTCCATACTATTATCTTAGGAAGTCCATAACTTAGTGCAATAATAATATGAAGTGAACAGCAACCTGAGCATGGATAATTTCCTCCCTGGAGCCAGCCCTCTTTCAGTCAAGGCCTACAGATGGTACATTTCACTATTTATCAATGGAAATAATGCAAAAGCCCCTTCCTAAATGGTCACTGAGTCTAATCACCCTCCAAGACCTTTGTGCATTTGTGGCGAGTCATTCCTGTTAGCCAAATTTTTCCATGATGGCATGTGCACGTCCCCACACCTCAAGCCAAACTTTTTTATGAACTGATGGTCACATTATCAGGATTGTAGGGGTTAAATGGGCATGCCATTGATTGGGATGAAGAGATATGACAGGCTAGATGATCAGTGTGAAATTTATCCTGAACTGTGGAAGCCTGCCACTCCAATGAAGAGATGAATTATGATTGCTGATTGCTGAAAATTAAAAGAGTACAGACCATCAATTTTGTTCAATAGAAAGATACTATGTTAACCCCTAGCCAACGGGTGGCATATACGTATATGCCATGGCTGTTGTGGACAAAAACACGGATAGCATCATATCATGCCCATTCCCAGGCCACTGGCTCGTTGGACAGAGTTTGTGTTTCTCCAATATGAGCAGCTTAATTTATATGGTAAATATTTTAGGCAATGGCATCTATAATGAAGGTAAAACTTCAAAATTATAATATTTTTATAAATTATAGCAAAATAAAAGCTTTTAGGTGCCAAATCTCGCTCGCAAACTACCGATCGAGCCGGGCGCAAGCAGGGGAAACTGCCGATGCATGCCAACAATCCCGTTATTACGTCCACTTGCCAAACATTTTACCCGTCGCCACTGGGTTTAAATAACTCCATGCAGTTGAGAAAATATAGTGATCACTGAAGTATTGTTTTCTGAAATGTCCTGCGCACTGATGGCTCTACCAGTCTTAACCACAAAGGAGTCAATTAGTAGATATTGTGACCTTACTTGATTTCACCTTTCCTTGAGTTTACGGGGGAAAAACTTTTTTTTTAACACAATCAATATTGATGCTGTTATCATTATCACAGACATTGTAATTATGAGAATGTCACTGACATTACAATAATAGATACCAGAAAATATTTCTAAAAATCAAGGAAAAGAGCTAAGAAATGAGAGGTAATACTCATAATTGGCTCATTGGTGACTTGGTGAGCAATCTAAACTCACAGTGGGCTTGGCACTGTGATTGATTGTTATGATTCATGCATATGTCAATGTCACTCTTGCTATGACAAACTTTCTATTACATATTTCAGGCAAGAACTTGGATAGAGTTCCTAACTGGACAATAGAGGGCCTGAGGGTCTACAAGTTCTTTCATTCCAATACATATGAAGTGGAGGTTTGATGCCTTTTTTCTGAGTTTCACAGGGATGTGTTGATTTCTGCATCACTAAAAAGAGTTGTGCTAGTATATGATAATGTGAATTTCATGACATATTGTATAAGGAATGGATAACTTTGATTTCCTTAGGTCCAAGACACCTGTTCAGTGTGTTGCTAAATCCTTAATATTGTCTGCGAAATTCATACTATCATAGATAAAAATTATGAAATTTCTCTGAGTCATGTTGTCACAAATTACAATCTTTGCATCAATACTGCTGCTATACTTGGTATCTTTATCCTCCATTGAAAAAAACAAAAACACCTAAACATGAGGCTGATAATCTCAATAAATAATTAGAGCAATCTCATAACAGTGATAATAATCGATCTGATAATCTGATTTACCCTCAATTTCTCTAAATCTATTGATGCTTTTGTGGGCTGCTCATAAAATACCTCCAAGTGACTGTGTGGCTGGTTTCATGATATGATATGTGCAGGTGGTTTTGTAGTGTGACGTGCAGTAGCAGGTGCCATGACCCTGACTGGAAAATTATACATCACACAAAGTTTAAATACAAAGAAAAGCTGCTTGATACCAGCCATGGAAAAAAAATTAAAAATGGCGCATTTCATTGAAGACAGCAAAACGAATCACGACAAATATTTTAAACATGATAAGGGTTAGAATTTATAAGAACACAAAGTGAAGTGCCTGGTCTGGAAAGTTTACATCCAATACATTTGAAAGATAATATATGTACTGACACACTGATATATTCCTGATGTGCATTTTTAAGAAAAACATTTGTCAGCAGCTGCACAGTTTTCAAACTTACCAATCGGGACCATGACCAATCAATTTTGAAAAAAATTGCTGCAGCTAATCAAACTAAATTGTTGTCAAATGGTTTGGGAAATGTTCGTTCTAATTTGCACCATGAAGTCATTGTGTCTAGATTATGATTTAACCCACTATGAGACTATTTTCTGATTATTCTAGGGTAATGAAGAACCTGATATATCAAAAACGACACAATTTTGCTACTGCCTGTGATCTGATTTTATCAGGCACATGTAAGCATCCATGATATCTCCATAACTAGAGATTTGGGTTAAATTGGAGGATATCAACTTGTACTATATCTTAAATAAAAATATATATTCCCATTCTGTATAATGTAATTGGCAAAATGAACGTAAAAAAAATTGAGTGCACTCATATAACATTGTTTTATGAAGCCTTTAACCTTTCTGCTGCAATGCAATTTTTTCTAGGATGCTCTACACGTTTACTCTGTAATCTTAAATAGTATACTGACCATATAATTCCTTACTGCGATATGTCAATTACTTTGTGTGCTACTATGTTGTGAGTTATCTCCTATTTGTACTCATTTATTCCATTATATTTGGGCATCTTGTATATGTAAGTAATATCATAAGAACAAAATATACCTGATATTAATTATTTTGGACTTTTTGCTATAACAACTTTTTGCGCATGCATGTTTTCCAAGCAGTCACTGGTATGTTTTGTGCCGTGAATGATTTTGGCTCTTGTCCTTTATTTAGAACTTCGGTGAAACTTACTGACATTTGCATAAGTCATGGTGTGTTAAGTGAACCTGTGAACTGAGCGAAATGTGGAAATAGGAGCAGAATTGAACGATTACCTATGATGCATTTCCCAGAACCAAGGAAGTGATTCCACCAGTTCCTATTGGGAGCATCTCCACTTTAGCCCCCCCTTTGTTTAAGGTAAAAATGGTTAGTGACTATTACGGTTTTGAAATTACTGCACTGGGGGTACAGGGGGTAGAGCCTGCTATCTGCTATCGGAAATATCAAGATATGCACCAGAAATGATAGCTTGTTAAAACTCGGCCTATGCCAAAAACTTTTGGAAAAAATATATTTCATGAATTTCATACAACTGCTGTAATACAGAAAATTGGGTAAATTTGGAAAAAGATGTCACCAATGCTCCTCAAGACAAAACTAGAAAGTGTCTGACAGAGAAAGAGCACTGCTTTCACTGCTTGGTTTTTGAGATTATTTTGCCAATGGCTGCAGAACCACCTACCATTTCTTAAGGTGCAAGGTAAATTCCATAATTTACAAAGCAATTCAGTGGGTAGCACTTCCTGTTCATGTAACAGTTTTCGGCTAGCCTCGTTGTCATCAAAATAATCTTTCATAACATTATACAGTTTAATATGACATTCTGCACACAGTGCAGCCATGGTGAAATTTATTCTAAAATTTAATTTCATAGCTTCTATTTTAACTTATGTTCATTCACTGGCTGTTTCCTCGTGTCTTGTTTCCCCACTATCAAATTAACCACCAAACAATAGACCAATGAAATCATGGCACTGGCTGTGATGTCAGAATTAAAATAACAGGAACAGTAAGTGTATCAGAGACCCTGCGCATGCGCAGAGGAAAATGTGGTCAGTTTTCCCTCAGCAATCACGTGAATCTCACCTCTGTTTACTACCATTTTTAATTATTTTGATAATCAAATTGCTTTGTTATTATTCATTTGCAAGAGAAGTTTAAGAAGTTTCTTTAATTAAACATCGTCAAGGCTGTAAGGTTGGTCATGATAGATTCTTTGTTAACGTCATTTTCCAATAATACCAAAAATTGACCTTCAGCGCAACTTTAGTAAATTTACAGCAGATAAAAATCAGGGTTAAAGTAAAAGATGTGTATGGACTGATACCTTAATGTAAACCGAGATACATTTGATCATTGGCATAAGGTGTGCAAATCGATGATAAAGGAGATACATAACAAAGACGAGACATGATAGACCCATCTTTTTCTTAGTTCTTCGCCAGGTTTACATAGTGAATGTAAACAATACTATGACCATTTAACTCATTACTGTGACCTGTCAAAGTTCATGTAGTACTATGCACTTTTGAAGAGATAATTATTTTGTAAATTTCAGTCTGCTTTTCATAATTCATGTATTTTATGCATTCCTTAAAAAAAAATCTAGTTTTTTGATAGTTTTAAGTTATTCTTTACATAAACCTGAACTTAACAAAACGTTGGTAAGGAATACTTGTTTTCAGTGTTGCGTCGATTCTGGGTCCTTTGCAAACAAATAAAGTAATTATCACAGCTTGATATGTGAGCCCATAGAGTGCCCCAAATTGCCAGAAAAAGTGATTAGAAACCAAGACATCCAGAAAATAGACAGAAGCTAAGGAAAGTTTGGTGTCTCAAGATATAAAGGTGTTTGGCTTATTCTTTGAGGTACGTATGCAGCTCTATCCTGCCATACATACTGAGGTGAAGAGAATGTTTCCTGAGGGGTGATGGGAGGCAGAGTCCCCCCCATCAACCGTCCCCTCGGGCAGTGCCCTCAGGAAACACCTAATCATAGCATCTTAGATTGTTGAACAAAATTTGTGACATGGAATTAGGTTGTTTACTGGTCAAGACGTACTGGGTGGTGTGAATTCCCATAGATTTTACAGCAGGATAGATTGGGTTCCCAATCAAGTTTCGATTGCCTATTTTGAGCATTTTCTGTGCTGTTTTTATGCATTTTTGTTCTCTATTCTTCTTATATTAGCCTGTTATACCCCATAATATCCCTGATATACTTCATGCCCTCCCCTGCTATAGGGACTTAACACATCAAAATTGCTGGCTGTGACTACTACGGAAATAATCATCAGATTTGTTCTCGTCACACAAGAATAAATCTGATGATGATCATAAACTGTAAAATAACCACAACTTTTTGCAGCCAAACAGAAAATCATATTTAGGAGAGTTGAATAATCATGGTGGTATAAGTAACAGAGAGTGATGCAGAGAGATTTTCTTACAATCACTCGCTCTAAAATTTGCAGGTAATTTTTTCTAATATGTCCGCACAACGGATCATGATGATTTTCATATTGTTGGATTTCTCTCACTGTCTAGTTTCCAAATATACAGAAATTATTGAGTGAAAACCCCTCTCTTGGCCCTAATAACAGTGGAAGGCATGAAAGGTACCTGGGAAAATAAGGATAAAATGCAAATATACACAGAATCAGTCACTATATTGTTTAATACAGGGGGCTGTGCCCCCTACAACCCCCACCATAGGGAGTTGCTGCTCCACAACCCATGCCTAGGAAAATAATGAATCCTCCATGTATTCAATGTAGAAGAGTGTGTATGACGGCCATGCTGGAGCAGTGTTGCCAAGTATGTTCGATGGTGTGAATACGTGGAGGATTCTTTGTTTTTCTGGGTGGGGATTAGGGGGGTGGTAGCCCCCATGGGGTGTCTCGGGGGCACAGTCCCTTGCATAAAACAATATAGTGACTGATTCTATGTATATTATTTACATTTTACCCTGATTTTCCCGAGTACCTTTCATGCCCTGGTATTGGGGCCAAGACTGTGGGGGTTGTTGGGGCTTCTGCAAAAAAAAATCTACATATTTGCATTGGAGACAGTGAGAGGAATCGGTCAATATGAATAACACAGTAATGGCTTACTTTTGAAATGATTTTTATATTTATCTGCAGGAAATCCACTGATTTCAACGATTCTTGTTTCTTGTGCAAATGATTCATTATGGAGATCTGAGTACCATTTCCACCGATAATCTTGATTTGTTCGTCCCAATAGCAGGGGGAGAGCATGAAGTATACCAGGGAAATTATGGGGTAAAACAGGCTTGAATATGAATAGCAAACAAAAAGGTTAATTTAGAGGATATAGAGTTATAGTAAAAAAACATGAAATGCTACTAAGATGGAAGAACAACATACAAAGGAATCGAGAAAGTCAAATATAAAGTGCGGAAATACATAACGCTACAATAACAACATGACACACGAGACTAAGTTCCCCTCTTCGTTTATCTGTTAAGTCTATGTAAACAAACCATACCACTCACGAGATGGCGCTCAGGAAAGTAGTACAAGTGCTACTCTCTATCAGTTGAAAAACAATTGTTTAGAAAAAGAAGGATACCACAACTTAAAAGTTAACCAGAGATATAATTTCGTGGATCCAGAAACAAAAGCACATACCAATAATATTGAACGAAAGTGGAGGGACACAAAGAGGGGAGTGCCTCAGTTTGGCAGGAGCATGTACCATTTTTTGGTTATTTGATGTTTATGAAACATCCAGAGACAAACAAACAACTCCATTTTCTTCATGCAGCATCAGAGCTCTACAAACTTTCTCCCTAAATCAAGTACTTATTCACCTTTACTTAACTTTATATATCTAATATAGGGAAATACTGCAATTAGATGTGGGTCTGGGGTGTAGCCTTTGGGTTAGAAGGGGTTTATGTTT